AACTTCCAGTACATGGCCACGAATGTGTGCCTGTGGACATGGCCCCTGTGTTGTTAAGATTTCCAGGTCCACCAAAAATCCAGGGCGTCCCTACTTTGCATGTCCCCGCCCTTTGGTGAGTGACCCATTCTTTTAGGTCATAACTGTCCTTCTTTAACAACCCATGAAACTAATAGTTCCATAATTTGCACTCATCAGCCCTGTGTTAGTTGGATTGGTTGGTGTGATGAACCCAGGCGAGATAACCAAGACTATGCGTCACCCAGGGATGAATTTGTCATGCAATTGCGGGCTGATGTCATAGACATTCAACAATCATTGCGTGTCCTTAAGACCATCGTGTATGTGCTATGCATTGTCGTTGTCGTTTTGTTGTTCCGTATGTAAGCAACGTTACGATGTTTCAGTATGTACAAACACGTTACTATGTTGGTAGTTTATTGGTAGTATGTACAATAGTATGTACAAACATGTTACTATGTTGGTAGTTTCGAAACGGTAGACGTATTAATGACTATCATAACTATGTGCAATACTAACTTCTATGGAACCTATGGTAGTATAAAATTAATGTGCAATGTTTATATACTGGGTAATTTAGCATCCTATCTCTCTGTTTCTTTGTTATTAATGTGTAATGGTTTATGAGTTTGTATATAACAACCGTTTGTGTGATGGTAATCTTTTGTAACCGAACATTAGTAATGGCTTCCATACGTACTTCTCCGCGTACCCAATCCAAAAGCAAAGGCGTTGTCATTGACAAGTCAAGCAGTCTTGAAGATACACACAATCATTTAAGCCACAAGGCCACATGGGACAGTGCCTTAATCCGAGTTTTCCTGCAGTTGATTGCGAATGAGATAACTAAAGGCAATCGCCTATTCCTAGTTCTTAGCCAAGCAGGGTACAAGTCCTTGGCAAGAAAATTTGAGAGAAAAACAGGAAGAAAACATGGACTCAAACAGTTGAAGAATAAGTACATGTGTTTGAAAAAAGAGTGGCAAGCGTGGACAAAGTTGATGGATTCAAGCAAAGGAGTGTCAGGGATAGGGATTAACTGTGACACCGGTATGTTTCAGGCACCTGAGGAGTGGTGGGACAAAATGGAATCGGTAAGTACATGTACTCTTATATTTCATATGTGTCATTTACCAGTATATTTTAACTTTTGTAGTTAAATTTTAATTAATTATATGGAATGTAACATGATTCTCTTTCATATATCTCTATTTGAACAGATAAACAAGGTGTGTGCCAAGTTTAGAAAAAAAAAACCTTGGAACATCGTGAGTTGATGAAGACCGTCTTCATGGGGGCATCAGCTACTGGGAAGCACCATTGGACCCCGGGCGAGGAACTTCCTGAAGCTACTGATGACTCATCTGATTCAGTGCACAGTTTGGGGGCCCAGCTATTTGCTGATCCAATACCCGCAAGAGTACAGGATGTGGATTCAGATTCTTCACGGGAGCATGTTCTGATTGAAAAGGGGAAAAAAAGAAAGACGCCATCAAGCAGTGTTTTAAAGTCCAAGAAGGCAACAAGTGGAGCGTCAGTTATTGCGGAAAGCATGAACACTCTGACAGATGTGGTGCGTACGAAGAATCAGCAGGTTACGGTGAGGCACCTCACAAGCAACGAATCGTTGTTTACTATTTCGGAGTGCATGCATTGCCTGACAGGTATTACATCGCTGGTTGGTACGCCGTTATTCCACTTCGCCACATCACTTATCGATAACGCCGATTTGCGGGAGGTGATGATCTGCCAGCCTGATGACGACTCGATCATAGGGTGGCTTACCCAGAAGTAGCTCCAGTGTATTGCGTCGGTGCCTTTTGCAAATCTGTTCGGGGCTCGCCGGATGTGATGTAGCGGTGTTACGAGTGTTGAATATGCCTTTCCTTCTCTTGCATTCTAAAAAATTTTACTTATGTTTTTTGTTGGCACTGTATTAAAACAGGATGGTTGTCTGTGCATGTTTTTTTTTTTCCTTCGTTTTTGTGTTTTCTTGTTACCTATGGTTTCCAAAACTTTTAGTTCAGTGCATGGGTTGACACAATGGAAGCATTGTTGTGCACACTTTCTGAGACATGAATGGGATGCTTCTCAAATTAAATGTATGCATGTTCTGTAGAATTGGATATAACGAATTTGCTTGCTAGCTTTGTGTATGTTTATATTTTCCAAAGTGCGATGTTAGTTTCATATTAGACGTCAACTTTTGTGGTTGTCACCACAATGGTCCCCCTTATAACAAAAGTTTAGCAGGTTCAAGTTTTTCCCATTTTGTATATCATTATGCGTTAAAAAATACATTGGTGACGGCAGTCCTTAAATTGGGTTGTCAACATTTTGAATTTTGTAATTGCAAATTTTGAAATTAATTAACTCGATGAAGGGAAAGCAAACTGATTGAAACAGTGCCACTCTTGTAGGTTTCGCATCAACGAAGACGTAATGAATCCCTGGTATGGAAGCTACAACGACGGAATAACGGAAATGCTTAATCAAATGGCAGTCCAGGTGCAACAAGAACACAACTGCACATTTCTACAAGCATGCCAGTATGCGACAGAGTGGTACCAAAAACACATGGCTAAAACGCCATGTCGCACTTCTATACTGACCGGGAATGCATGGATATCCGAACTATATGCTGGCCATATGGGCCGATTTGAGAAAAACGTGTCCATGCCGAAGGAAGTTTTTCTCGCCCTGTGTGAATCATTAGTAAATGATTTTGGGTTACAAGTCCTGCAACGTCTACATGGTTTAGCTGTTGAAGAAAGCGTTGCAATGTTTATCCATGTATTGAAAGGGAAGCAAAATCGAGAAATCCAAGAACGGTTCCAACATTCGGGGGAGACTGTGTCTCGGCACGTGCATAACGTATTAACTTCCATGAAGCAGTTCACTGTTGTTCATTGCCGGCCCACATACAATCAGCATCGTATACATCCATACGTGCAGTCTAGACGGAAATACTTACCGTTCAAGGTACTACCGAAATACATTATTCACATATACATAAAGAGTGTCTGTTATTTTGTTTTTATTACTAACTGGATGTGACGGATGGAAAAAACAAAACATTGTATATTTTTTTAAGCAACAAAAGAATTGGGTTGTTTGCAGGACTACATTGGTGCAATAGACGGAACACATGTAAGTGCATGGGTTACGGGGCCAGATGCAGCAACATAATTTGGTACGAAATACTCTCACACGCAAAATATCATGCCCACAGTCGATTTTGACATGTGTTTCATATTCATTTCGTGCGGATGGGAAGGAAGTATGCATGATAGTCGCATGTTCAACGAGATACTAACTAATGACAATGTCCCATTCCCACATCCTGACGAAGGTAACACATGCGATGTTTGTGGATTTAGGGGGTTCTCTGTACAAATTTTAAGTGTCATACATTGGTGTCATGTCTGCAGGCAAATATTATCTTGTTGATTCTGGTTATCCAAACCGGACTGGGTACTTAGCACCATTCAAAGGCCACCGTTACCACCAACAAGAATTTCGACGTATTGCACGGAACAGGACGGCAAACACGCCAAGGGAATTATTTAACAAAGTGCACTCGTCCTTACGCAGTGTGGTGGAACGCACCTTCGGTGCCTGGAAAAATCGATGGGGGTTTATTCGAGACATGCCTCGGTATGACTTTGCAAATGTGCAAGTCCAGTTAGTAGGTGCGCCAATGGCATTACATAATTATATACGGCGCAACACAGGTAACCCAACAACTGTTCACCCAATCTGTGACGAGGAAGAGGCTATGACAATAGTAAATGCCATATCAGAAGTTGAACATAACGAGGATGGTTTAATGGTTGGGGATAAGGACCCACATATGGCATTGGTGTGCCTTCACATACGCGACAAATTATGTTACATGCGTAATAACGGAATGTTAGGAAATATATAATAGTCGACCTAATTTCCGTAGGGTTGTAACATTACTAATGACACACGTGGAACAAACTGTATTGAAATATATTATCATGTACAATATGTATGTGTTTACACGGAGATATACCCCCTTCCAGTTGGTGACGTGCCGCACTCTGAAAAACCAAAATTCACAAGATCGGAAATGCTTAATCCATTTTTTTAAAATGTAAAATAAAAAGTTAATGTGAGTGAATAAGAAAATGACAAAATCGTAAATTTTTAAAAAAAAACGAAAAAAATACGCCTCATTCAAAAACATTTAAAAAAAAAAACATGAAAACATAAGTCATCATTCACCACGTAATTTACAAATAAATAAAACACGTAATTTACAAAAACAAGTGCTTCTATACCAATAAAAATAAAGAAAAAGAACTAATTCATGTAAAAAGAAAAAAACAAAGACAAAAACATAAATTTAAAAAAAAAAAAAAATTAGCAAAATACCCCAAATCCAAACCCAAAATAAAAAAATTAAAACAAAAAAAAAAACAATGAAAGCAAAAAACGCCAAATCCACTTCCAAAATAAAATAAAAAAATAATGTTCGAAAAATACACCAAATCCAAGCCCAAAAAAAAATAAAATAAAAAAAGCAAAATACGGCAAATCGAAACCCAAAATAAAAAAAATTAAAAAAAACAATTAAGCAAAAAACGCTACATCCAAACCCAAAATTAAAATAAAGAAATAAATAAATAAAGCAAAATATGGGAAATCCAAACCCAAAATAAAAAATTAAAAAAAAAAGCCAAAAAAGGTAGTTTGGTAATTTAACAGGATGACACCTCACCAAAAAGTCAAAAAGTCAAAAAAGTCAAAAAATCCTTCCCAAACCAGGCTTTTGAGCCAAAAAAGTTAAAAAGCCAAAAAGCCAACCCACTTCCCAAACGGAGGAATAATATATTCAAGAGAATATTTAAACTCTTTTTCAATTGAAAACACAAATAGAATATATAAATAAATTGAAAATACAAAATCTTACAAATTACTAGGGATGCTCGGCGATTTGGCGGTTCGGTTGCGGCCAAATGAATCTCAAATCCCTCATCCGTTCAAAACTAGGCGGATTGGAAAAAAATCAATCCGTAACCATCCGCTCGTCATCATGCATCCGCCTAAAATGAGGTGAATTGGTTCGGTTTGGTCGATTTGGACAGATCTATATATCCGCTGCTCACCTCTAATTTTTTTTTTGTCCCACTTTCCCATAATTTCCTCTCTCTATCTATATATATATTTACATGTATTAAATAGACACTGTAAGAGTTGGCCTTCATCCAAATTAGGAGAAACCTCTATTAGTTTCTCATCCAAGGACTAGAATTCAAACTTCTTCAACAGTTCCTATATTTATGGGATAACTTTGACTAGAAAAGGACACTTGGCAGCCATACAAGGCCTATGCCCTCCACCCAACGACTGAGATTTGAAGAACCCTTATTCTTAAGGAGCACTCCAAACATGAGCCCTGAAAATGAGGATCAGTTGGGACACGTGGCAACTATAGAGTCATCCTAACACCCTCACTAAAAAGAAGTGGCTGAGATATTCCAGCAGGTCATTCCTGATTTTCAAAAGGTCATGCTTGACTTCCAAGAGGTCTTAGAAGTTATAAGAAAAAAAAAGCCATGAAGAAGCTCAAACACACACCCAAACCAATCAACTAAGACATAATTCAAATCGAAATTCGTGTCATTTAGCAATTAGCCTAGTCTAGTTTATCATCTTAAAAGGTATCAGTGCCATAGATTCGATTAAGGCATCCGTGTTGTTAGATTAATTTTTTAGCCATTCGTAGTGATTGTGTTCTTATTTTCAATTGTGTTTAATTCGTTGTATTATGATTAAATATATTTATCTGAATACTATTTCATTATTGGAAAACACTCAGGATGTCATAGTCATAGAATCAATCAAATGGGGTGTCTATTAGGGGTGAGCATCGTCTGATTTGAATTGATTTGAAATAAAATCAGGATCAATTCATTGTCTACAGTTTCATAAAAATTAGAACTAAACCAAACCATAAAAATCATGGAACCAATCTGAACCAAATCATTTAAACATGGTTTGATTCGGTTTGGAACTAAGGTTTCACGTAATTTGTTCACAAGAAAAATTATATAATATTTTTTTAAAAAAGTAACTTATCATAAATTTTAAAATAAGAATATGTCCATCAAACAAACTACTCATAATATTCATCAGTTAAGCAAATATTGTTTAACATTAATCTGTCGTGATTCTTTGAAACACAGACTTTCAAAACATAAATGTGCATATTGTTTCACCATTAACTTACAAAAATATAATATCTAGCAAATAAACACATATTGTTTAAGTTATACGGTCCGGTTCGATTTAAATTTTGAACCGTGAACTAAATCTAGAATCGATCAACGGGGATCGATTCTCTAATTTTCTAAACAAGAATCAAATAAAGAATTAAAAAAAATGTAAAATGTTACATGTATTGTGCTTTTTTCATCAATAAAGTTTTTTTTTGCTGATAAAAAAAAAATTTTAAAAAATAAACAAAACCTAACATGTTTGTCTAGATTGATTCAATTTACAAATTTTTCAATTTTCTTACTCAGTCTTAAATTACTTGAGCCAAATAAAATTTTACTCAAATAAAAAAGACCGATCATATAATTTATTTATTTTGTCACTCCAGCTTTTCTCCCCATCATCATCATTGTTTCTCCCTTTCCCTCATTATCATCATTGTTTCCCTCATCATTTTTCCACCATATACCTTTATGTCTCTAAATCATAACAAGCGCACAGTCCTTGCTTACAAACATCTTCATCAACTCTCTTTGGTGAGTAACTAAAAAAAAAAAAACTCTCTTTGGTGAGAAATAAATGGGCAGAAGTGTTAGATATATAGTGGTAATATTAGTGGTGGGGCAGCATAAGAAAGTGGAGTGGCATTATCAATTCGCCTTAAGTAATGAACTTGGTGGTCCGTTGGGAGATGCCGTGGTGGGTTGGCGTGAATTTCAACATGACATATGACTCACATACATGAGTAGAAAACAGAGTTTGTTCCTCATTATTATTTTATTTTTTGATATTTTCAAATATAGAAGGACAAATTATATTGAACCCCCCTTAACTATTCATCATTTATACTTTATTTTTTAATTTTTTAAATCTAACAATTGCTCCTTTAAACTATTTAAATTTGAACATTAAGTTCTTTTGTTAATTATCTGTTAGATATTTGAATGAAAAATTGTTACGTGTCGTACACATGATGATTATATTAAATTTTATAATCAAATTACCCTACCCTATTGTATCTTATGTTAAAATTTAATATAATCATAATGTGCACAACACTTGATAGTTTTTTATCCGAATATCTAATAGATGACTGACAGAAGGACTTAATGTTCAAATTCAAATAGTTTGAAAAGGGTAATTGTTGGTTTAAAATATTGTGGGGGTAAAGTGTATCATCCATAGTTTGAGGGGATTTAATATAATTTGTCCTTTTTAAAACTAAAATGTCAACTCCTTCCAAGGCAACAACTCCAAAAAAAAATGGCACACAAAAAATCTAAAAGAGAGATCCCCTAGTTAAGGGCTGTTTCCATTCGGTCATGCTCTAGTTCAAGGGTGTTTCAAATTTTGAATCAATATCATTGCCCCTAGTTTTCAAGGGGGGGTTGATTCCAATCTAACTCATATTCAAACCTTAATTGCCCCTACTTGAAGGCTGCCTCCATTTGAATCACAATCATTGTCCTAGTTCAAGGGCTGATTCCAAATCTCATCACGTCGGGCCTTCTTTGCCCCTAGTTCAAGGTTTGTTTTCCAAATCGAATCAACAAGGCCCTACGTAGTTCTAGCTAAGGTTTACTCGGGTATTGACACTCTCTTTTATGCTCTAACTTTTTCTAAAAGCCGCTCTTTCGGGTTTTCAAACCTTAACGAGAGCCCTTTTTCATATTTTTTCATTTTTTCATTTCATTTTTTTTTTGATGCTCTACTTTTGCCTAGGTCGCCCTTTCGGATTTTCAGCACAGCAAAACCTCTCAAAGGTAATACCTTATTGTCCATAGTTTAAGGGCTACCTCCATTTGAATCACAATCATTGCCCCAGTTCAAGGGTTGTTTCATTCGCTATACAAACCTCACACTTTTGGTTGATTACGAACACTTCGATCACGGTTTGGAAAGCTAAGAGCTAAGGAGGTTGGCCGTCAAGTCAAGAGGGATCCTATGCTTGAATCAAGGTCCAGGCAATAATGTCGTAGGACTACGCAAAATAGTTGTTGAAATCTTTTCACAAGTGGACTAATCACTCGTACTCTTATGAAGACAAGAATAGAACCAATTTAG